ACTCTCAACCACTGCACCACCAGGGAAGCCCCCACGTGCATTTTTTATATGTAGGAATCCATTAGAGGACACACTCTGATTAAAAATTAAACAGTAAAAGGTAAATCAAAGACATTATTTTTATGCTAATATGTTTAGGTGTTTTTTTAAAAATAATAAAATGTGCTTTTTCAAAACAGAAGGTGTATCTGTGAGGAAAAGACAAGGAGCATAAACATTCTGAAGACTACGTTCACTCCTATAACTATGAAGGAAAAGAGTCTGTGGCTGGCTCCGTTGGCTGCTACAGGGATCTGCAGGAAGAAGAGGGGTTTGAGTTTCTAGATCATCTGGAACCCAAATTTAAGACCCTAGCAAAGACACGTGTCAAGAAATAAGTGTGCCTTTTAATAGAGTAACATCTACGATGCATATGTAGGAGTTTATTGAATGTAAAATGACAGCAGCATCTGCTAAACTGTTTGTTTATTGGAGGTAAACTTCTAGTCATATAGATAAGGATACTATAAATACGAAGCTCCCTCTAATTCTCCTTGTCTGAGATAACTTCCATGTTCTCCAGAAATAAATGTTTCATTTGTTAATTTCCATTTATATGCATTTACATATTGCCCTTTCTAGGACTGTACTATGTGCTGTCTTGCACCTTCTATTTGAAAACTTATGTTACTTGGTATGCTCTGGAAGAGTATATGGGGAGCTAGTGAAAAGTACATTTTTATTTTAGATGAAAATTAAATATTTTCTTCACCGTCTTGGGGACAATTATGCTTTTAGAAGTATTGTCTTTGGTGCAAGAGAATTGCTTCCTCTATCTGCATGGCGCTGTGCTGAAGAATTGTTTAAACATTCTTTGATAGTCTCCAACTGGTGAATAAGGCTCATCTCCCACTATATTTTTCACCCTCCGGAGGTGCTCCCAGCTCGATCCTGAGATCTCTGTCCATGTGGATGCATCATCAGGTTCCTACAGGTTCTAGAATTGTTGGAAAGACATGGACCAGAACAAGCTCACAGCAATTTGAGCCTCTGAGATTTTTTTTGAAGGATCACGTGAAAGGATTTCCATGAAAGAATTGCAGCCTTGATGCCCGTGGGTTGATTGAAACCCATAAATGTGTTTTGTTTGCCCACCATGACGTATTATTACTTTTTAAAAATATAAATACCTTGGCAAGGACATGCTCTCTCTAGTGTGACACGCGCCCACCATCTTCAAGCATTTGGGGAACTAGCCCAGCAGGAATTAGGCTTACAACCCTGATATACAGTGCTTAGCCCTTTGAGTATGCTAAAGATTGAATGACTATCCTACCCGGAGCTTAATATTCAGGCTGCCTTGGTAATCACTTTCAGAAAATGTTAAATCAGAAAAAGTGTCTGGCATATATATGTTAAAAAATTGAATCTATTAATGCAATTCTTACCAAACATTTTTTGAATGGTGGTGGATTAAAAAAATGAGAACATGAGTTAATAAACTATTTTGAATATATAGCATTTTAATAGGACATTATATTTTATTAATTTAGAAAGAAACCATATGTTTAAATAATATTTTAATAGTGTTTTGTGCCAAACTCTATAGATTTATAAACATTAACTGTATATATCACAAGGATATTTCTCGTTCAGACAAAAATAATTTTTTTAATCTATTAGCTAGTTAACCTTTGAAACAAATGAGTATCTGATTTTCTTAAATTTTGTGATTAGTCTCCTTACGGTTAGTCACAGTTTCTAAGTAAAGGGGTTTCTTGATAAGAAGTTGGATATTAGAGTAGAAAAAAAAAGTTTTAATAAGTAAGATTATATTTTAAAAGGTGTCCATTTTTATAGCCATTGTCAGTAAAATAATTTTGGAGAGTAATGCAATTTCTGGATATCTGTTATTTGATGTACATGTTACTCTGACAATGATACCAGTTTTGAAATTTTAAAATATAATATTAAAATTTTGGAAATATATAATAATAACGTGTTAAGTTATATTCTTTTTTTTTTTTTTTTTTTTTTTGCGGTACGCGGGCCTCTCACTGCTGTGGCCTCTCCCGTTGCAGAGCACAGGCTCTGGGCATGCAGGCTCAGCGGCCATGGCTCACGGGCCCAGCCGCTCCGCGGCACGTGGGATCCTCCCGGACTGGGGCACGAACCCGTGTCCTCTGCAGTGGCAGGCGGACTCTCAACCACTGCGCCACCAGGGAAGCCCAAGTTATACTCTTGAATGTAGATGCAGTATGTTTGCTAAGCAATTAAAACTCACTAGTCAAACATTAACTTACATGTTTGTTTATGTCTTCATATTTCTTAAATTTAAGAATGAAAGAGAAAATTTGTATCTGAACATAAAATACAATTAAAGGTCAAAGGCTGATTTCTCAATCAGCAAGAGAAGACACTCTAAAACTATAATCAAAATTATTAGAAGGGCTTCCCTGGTGGCGCAGTGGTTGAGAGTCTGCCTGCCGATGCAGGATACGCGGGTTCGTGTCCCGGTCCGGGAGGATCCCACATCCCGCGGAGCGACTGGGCTCGTGAGCCATGGCTGCTGAGCCTGCACGTTTGGAGCCTGTGCTCCGCAGCAGGAGAGGCCACAGCAGTGAGAGGCCCGCGTACCGCAAAAAAATAAAAAATAAAAAATTATTAGAAAGTGTAGGAAATGAATTTGTATTAAGCAGTTTTGACTATTTTAAAATTTTTTCAAAATATCGTTAAAATTTATCTCACAGAGGAACTATGATGCCTTTGGGTTTATTTAGGAAATTCAAAGTCATTCTTTATTTACACTCAAAATTAAATGTTAATTGTATGATTGATGAAATTTATGAAACTCAGGTGAACTGTTTACAAATTTAGTTTGTTAATAGAACATTGTATTTGATGGATTATTTCATGTAAGTTAATTGTTAATTAATTGTCAGTAAGTTAATCATTCTGAATTGTTTTCAAGAATTAAATCTATAGCTAGGGGAAAATGTACAGTTAAACTTTCCTATCTTGATCAAGATCTCAAACTATTTCATGTGAAAAAATTCCATGGAAACACCAAGACAGATGAAAATTGATATAATTGTTATAAATGAGCTTTGTTAAATACTTCCTTAACTTTGCTGAGCTTTTAATTCCTCCTAGGTTTATTAAAAATATTTTGTAAAATTTTTTTTTTTTTTCTTTTTGCGTTACGCGGGCCTCTCACTGTTGTGGCCTCTACCGTTGCAGAGCACAGGCTCCGGACACGCAGGCTCAGTGGCAATGGCTCACGGGCCCAGCTGCTCCGCGGCATGTGGGATCTTCCCGGACCGGGGCACGAACCCGTGTCCCCTGCATCGGCAGGCAGACTCTCAACCACTGCGCCACCAGGAAAGCCCTATTTTGTAAAATTTGATATCTATGCGTATGTTTACTCGTAGAAAATGGAACATGCTATGTTATTTGGAAAATGTTCACAATAGATGTTCTAGAGTTGAGGATTTTTATTATCATAGAGGAAAAGCTAACTCCATTTTGGTGTGCGTTAGTTATAAAAGTCCTGTACTAGTTGAAAATCCTCAATTAGATTAGGGCAATGAAACAAATTATGTATATTGCTACATGTTTCTGGTCTCTTTTATCTGCTTTTCTAATAAATGTGGATGAACATTGCATTTGACCAGAAACTGCCTTTGTCTTTCTGCATAATTAGGTTAAAGAAAAGAGTACTACGTATAGTAGGAGAAAGCACTACTAAGAATGGATAAAGCAACTACACGCCAATAAAAATTAAAAAAAAAAAAAAAAGAATGGATAGATCCTTGTATACTTTGTAGGGCCCAGTAAATTTAAGCAAGCATAGTTTTAAAAAACTCTTTGAAAAGATAGTGTTGCATAAAAAATAAAAACCACACTTAATCTCAAATCCTTGCCACTACCAATAAAATAATAACCACTTTCAAATATATAGATAGAATAATTGTGTAAGAAATGTTATGTGCAAAGTATATTTATTATATGCATTTCATGTGGATAGATCAAATTATTTTAAAATCTTTACTTAAAGTTTTTTGATTGATAGGAATAAAATGTCCTTTATAAAATCAATCTACGGAGTTAGACTTTGTTTATTTACTAACTTTAGAGAAAAAAACAATTAAAAATAAGTGTGACCTTCCTCCATATTTGGTCTGAGATACATAAGATTTCAAATT